AATGAAATCACTCTGGATAGTGCTGTGGAGAGAATGTTGGCCCTGGAGTCAGGAAGACCTGAGTTCACATCTGGCTTCACACATTTACTGGGGGTGGCAGTGGGGGGGTGGTAACCCTGGGAAAGTCACTTAACTTCTGTTTGCCTCTATTTCCCCATTCGTAAAATAGGAATAATAACAGTTACCTACCTCCCAGGGTTGTTGTGAGGATCAAATGAGATAATATTTGTAAGCATTCAGCACAGTGCTGGGCACACAGGATAGGTTTAATAAATGCTTGTTTCCTTCTTTCCTGCCAGCTTCAATGGCTACTTCTTTTTTGTTTTTGTTTGTTTGTTTGTTTTTGGCAATGGGGGTTAAGTGACTTGCCTAGGTCACACAGCTTGCTAGTGAGGCCAGATCTGAACTCAGGTCCTCCTGACACCAGGGTCAGTGCTCTATCCACTACGCCACCTTGCTGCCCCCCTAATGGCTACTTCTTAATCCTCTCTCTCCTTAACTTTCTGCTGCACTTGACACTACTGACCTCGATCCTCAACCTGACCTTCCATCCCTCGTGCTATTATACAATATCTCTTTTCTCTAACAAGGTCAAAGATCTAGAAAATTCATCTACATCTGTTGCCTCTATGTCTCTCCCTTCATTCTGTGAGCCTGTCAGTCAACAAGTATTTCTTAAGTACTTACTACATGCCAAGAACTGGGGATGTTTCATTTCTCAACCTCTTTCAATCTGGATTCTAACCTCACTCACCTGACATTGCTCTCTTCAAAGACATCACTGATCTGTTCATTGCCAAACAAAATGGTCTTTTTTCAGTCCTTACCCATCTTGACTTCTCTGCAGCCTTTCACACAAGTGATTAACCTGTCCTCCTGGTTACTATCTCCCCCTTAGGTTTTCATGACATAGTTCTCTTTCCTCTCTGACTATTCCTCACTCGGCTTTTCTAGATCATCCCCTGTATCTCTGACCCTTGACGCTATCCTGGGCTCTCTTTTCTCTTTACGATCTCAGTGACCTCATTAGCTCTATGGATTCAATGATCATCTCTACACAGATGGTTTCCAGTCCTATATAGCCAGTCCTAGTCTTTCTTCTGAGCTCTAGATCCCATCACCAACTGCCTATTGGACATGTTAAACTGAATAATTCATAAGCATCTGATACTCACACATATCCAAACCCTAACTTCTCATCTTTTCTCCCAAACCCACCCACTCCTCTTCCTAACTTCCCTATCAAGGACACCACCAGCCTTCCAGCCACCAAGTTCCGCAACCCTGGAGTCCAGATTCCAACTCTACAACATCTCTTAGATCCATTTCCTTCTCTCCTATCTAGTCACCAATCTAGCTAAGGCTCTTATCACCTCCCACCTAGATTATAAGAGTCACCAAAAGTGTTTCCTCTCTCAAATCCATTCTTCACATAAAGGCCAAAGTAATATAATAACAAGCAAAATTGAGTCTGACTGCAACTCTGCTGTTTAATAAACTCCAGTGGGTCCTTAGTCAACGAATCCATCAGTAGGCACTTATTAAGCACTTACTGTGTGTAAGCACTATGCCCCCTAAGTACTTATATGAACCCTTCTGTTGGGCATTTAAAACCCTCGTGAAGCTCTTGGTTCCAACCTACCATTTCAACCCTACCATATCTTACATCCTCTCACAAGCTCCATGGTTCAGCTACACTGGCCTCCGTCCTGCTCTTCACGTGCCACATTTTATATCCCATTTATGTGCCCTGCACTATCCCCCATGCCTGCAAGGCACTCCTTCCTCATTTCCGCCTCTTACAATCCCTTTTGTTGTTGTTATTCGGTCATTTCAGTTGCATCTTTGTGACCCCATTTGGGGTTTTCTTGGCAAAGAAATTGGATGGTTTGCCATTTCTTTCTCCAGCTCATATTTACAGATGAGAAAACTAAGGCAATCAGGGTTAAGTGACTTTCCCAGGGTCACACAGCTAGTAAGTGTCTGAGGCCACATCTGAACTCAGGTCTTCCTGGCTCCATGCCTGGTGCTCTATCCACTGCGGTTTCCCTCAAAGTTCAGCTCAAATGCCACACCTTACATGAAGCCTTTCCCAATCACCAAAGCTACTAATGCCCCCTATTACCATGTTTATGTTTCATATATACTACTTATAGGTAGATATGTTGGTTCCCCAACAGAACATAGGCTCCCAGACAACAAGGACAGTCTCATTGGTCCTAGTTGCCCAAGGAGCAGAGTGAACAGGAGAGTGGGGGATGGGGAGGGGAAGTGAAAATGAGGCAGCTATTTCAGTCATGCATGAAAACCCCAACTTCTCACAGCTGTTTGCCATTCTCAAATTTCCCCACTTTCCAGAGATCCCCTGCTATGCAGCTCCTGACACTTTTTGTTCTATTTACCTTTGGGGAAAACAACGGGTAATAAAGTGAATGCTCATCAACCAGAAAACAACTGAATAAACTGTGGCATATGGACATAATGAAATATTATTGTGCCATAAGAAATTATGACTATAACCAACTCGAAGAAACCTCAGCTGACTTGTATAAGTTTATGCAGATTGGGTTGAGTAAAATCAGGAGAAAAACTTCCACAACAATATAAAGGAAAACAACTTTGAAAATCTGCTGAACTCTGATAAATGCAGTGAACAATTACGGCTCTAGAATACTAATTATGAAGCCTGCCTCCCCAGGAGAAGGGACAGACTAGAGTTCCAGAAGAACAATGGCCAGAGTATTATTTTTTTGAGTTGTTATTAGGGAGAGCTTCTATTTGGGGGGAGGGAATCAGAGAAGGGCAAAAAACTGAAACACTTGAGGGTGATAGAGCTTCAAAAATAGGAACAACAATAAAACATTTTAAATACACAGAAGAAAAGAAAGTTCAGAAAAGGACACAAAGACATGATTAATGTATTAAATTTAATATACAGTTTCAAAATAATTGCATATTATAGTTTATTAACAATCCTATTTTTTCTTGTATGTCTAAAAGTCCATTTTTGTTGATGATTATTGAGAACATAAAAAAAAGTTTATTGTTTGCCAAATAGTTCAGGGTTTTTAGGGTTACGGTACCCAAGTACCCCCTGGGCTCCCCGCCTTTCCTACCTCTTCTTGTAGATTGTCTCCCCCTTTACATTATAAGCTCCTGGAGGGCAGGAGCTGTCTTTCTATTTATTAACTGTATCCTACTGCTTAGCCCAGTACCTCATCTATTGCAGGAATTTAATGAATGTTTATTAGATTAGTTTTTATAATAATTTTCCATAATTATTTTTCAGTGCACATCTATACACACATTATAAAACTACATAGATTATATGTAGAAATAGATTTATTCTATAGATCTATACAACATATTTATAGGTCTATATAATAACTGTAGATAGATCTATAAATCCAGATCAATATATCTACATATAATCTATATATGTGTATAGATGTAGATGTACAGATATAAATCTATATTATGTAGCTATAACTCTATATATAAAATAGATTTATAGGATAAATCTATATAGCCAAATCTGTATATAGATGTATAAATGTAGCTGTATAGATTTATTCTATAGATCTATAGATATGTCTACATAAGTATAGAACTATATATCTATAGAATAATTCTATATCTATAGATCCATATATAATCTATACATTTGTGTGTGCAGAGATGCAGGTATATATTTGTTATATAGATCTATAGATATATAAATCTATGTATCTAAAGATCTACATAATAAATGTAGATATAGATATAGATCTATATATAATGTATTACATCTATAGAATAAATCTGTTTAATATATCTACATATATCTATATATACAACTATATGCATGTATATACTTGTAGATATATATAGATTTCTTAGTGTATGCATGTAGATAGATATAGATTTCTTATATAGATCTATAGATGCATATATCTGTAGCTCTATATAATAAATCTATAGAGCTAGGAAATCTATATCTATATATCTAAATATAATCTATGTGTGTATAGATGTAGATATATAAAGATTTATTATATAGATCTATTTATAGATCTATATATAATAACAATGTATGTGTATATATATATATATACACCATATTATATCTATAAAATAAATCTACATATAGATATAAGTTTCCTCCAAAGATCTCACTTTAGGGGGGGACCTATATTGGAGAAATCTTTATTCAGACTATTATTATATCCAATATTTGTTGAATGAATGTTGAACTCTACCCAGCCATACAAGTGTGCCTTAAGATAAATCCCAAGCCCTCTCTTCCTCTACACTCTATCAATGACCTCATCAGCTCCCATGGGCTTAATTACCATCTCTAATGAGATGGCTCCCAGATCTATATAACTAGTGCTTGTCTCTCTCCTGCTCTATCTTAAGAATTTTTCCCACTTAAATACAACGTAGGAATGATTTCCACAATTTTTAAAAAGTTATGTCATAAGTTCTAAAAAAGAAAAACAAGCCCCAAATTCCCAGAACTATAAACACAGCAACTTTTTATAGCCCAGAAGTTCAACCACCATCTGCAATAAAAACAAATCACCTTATGCTGAAAGAAATGAAGACTATGATGAATACAAATAAGCAGGCAAAGATTTACATGAACTGATGCAGGATGAAGTAAAAGACAGGAAAAGAATATACCCAATGACTATAACATAAATGGAAAAACCAACCATAAAACAATCAAAAGTGAATGCTACAAAATTACAAAGAACAAGCATGGCCCTAAAGAAAAGACATGAAAAGATATCCCAGACACAATCCTTTGAAGAGGGATGGAAGATCCACAGGTGCAGAACACTGCATATATTTTCAATGTATGAATCCATTTTATTCATTTTCTTCCTCTTTTTTTAAAAAAAATTGTCATATGAGGTGACTCTCCACAATTTGGGTGGGACAGTGATACCATGACAAGTTTGCAAAAGCCAAAAATACCAATAAAAATTTATTTTAAAAAAATCATCCACTCTTACCATAAGTAGGAGTAAAAGTAAAGTCATCCAAGTGGCAAATATCATAAGACACAATTCTAACATCTTTCCATATTCCTTGAGTAGGAAAGGAAGGACCCCAGTCCCAGCTAAATGAACATTGTTCCTGTAAACCCAAGAAACAACAAATATTTTGATTAGAGATTGATGAAAATCATCCAAAGGGTCCTTTTTTAAAGATCTGTCTATATAGAGCATCATGACTGAAGCAGCACCATACAAAATTGTCAGAAATGCTGACACACAATTGCCATTGGACTATCTTGCATTTCTTTTGTCTTAGTTCATTACATTAATAAGGAAATATTAGTTAACTACCTGGTAGCTACCAAATCCCAATTATCCCAATAATCCCAATTATCTGAGTTTAAATATAATCACAAAGAACAGGGAAACAAACATATGAATATATAAGACAATTCTTAAATGTGATGATTCTTAATGGAATTAAGTCAAATGTATTTACCAACTCCCGCTTGTCCCTCCTCCCCAAATAGAATTGTACTAATTAAATTATTCCACCAAGACCCTTAACATTGGTAGAGACCAATGTCTATGACAAACTAATTTTAACCAACCTCATTTTGCTTAACTCTCCCATCCTTCCATTTATGAAAATCAATTTGCCTATCAATCTTCAAGCAAAACCAAAATTGGTTCATATTTCAAGTTCAAACACAAAGTCCAGCACTTGTAAGAATAATAAGAAAAGGAATTTTCCATGCCAGGTGTGGTGATACACACCCGTAGTCCTTGCTACAGGGCTTATCACTTGAGCATTGTAGGGCTACAGTCAACTGGTATCTGTACTAAGTCTGGTATCAATATGGTGAGGTCCACTTGTGCCTGACTACTTAGAAAGAAGTGAACCAATCAGGTCAAAAACAGAGAAGATCAAAGCTTCCATGACAATCAGTGGTGGGATCTGGCCTGTGAGTGACCAGTGCATTTCCAGCTTAGCAAAACAAAAGGGGGGAGGGAGGAGAAAAATTTTCCTCCTTTTTCTTACTTCTTAAAAAAAATAAATTTCACAGTCTTGGACCACAAGACAAAAAACACAAAACACTCTCTGACTTAGACAGTTTTTAGCAATGGGCCTGGGAATCTGGCCACTCTGTTCTCATTTAAATTGTTACTGTCTAGCTATCCATAACTGGGAGAAAAATGGAATAGCATTAGCTGAAGTGGAATCATTTCATAGTACAAGTGTATATTTAAATTAGTCTGTGTTCACTTTTATCCCCAAGCCCAAACCTTTACCTTTCGAATAAAGTTAACATGGCACTCTCCTTTCTGGACAGGGTCAGGGCACTCGGGTGGTATCCGGTACTCTGCATGAGCCTTGCTTTGCTGAGCAGCATATGAAACTGCTGACTGGAAAAGAAGCTTGATGGTGTTGAGCTCTCTGATTTCCTTGGTAATATCAAAGGTCTGAGTTAAAAGGGAAAAAAGAAATAGAAAAATAGAAATAATGAGACTGATTTGCAAAATTTAAATAAATACAGAAATTTGTGACAAAGAAAAAAAAAGAAAAAGCATTCAAGTGCTCTGTAGAAAAATCCAGTCCATAATGCAATTTGGTTCCATACTACCTCTGTCCTAAATTAACTGTTCTCCCAAATAAGGTGTACAAATTCTATCTTCCTCTTATTAGAATGATAGTTCTAAAAATAAACAGTAACACACACATACACACACACACACAGAGGCAACTTATTGGATACAAGGCTGTCTGAGAGTACTCATTACTGTTTGAAGACTTCATCCTTCAAAGTCAGTTAATAGCCTTACAATTTGGAAATTTAAAAAAAAAAAAGAAAGAAAGAAAGAAAGAAAGGAAAGAAAAAAAAAGCCAGAAAAAAGCCAAAAAAAAAAAAAGACAGAAAATATGTGTTTCCATATCCTAATTCTGGAATGGGTATATAAACTGGAACATGAATTTCTATTTTTTAAAAAAATCTACTTCTCAAACTTGAAGAAAAAAGATCAATATAATTTTCTACAATACGCCACTTTTTATGTGAATACTCAGTTCCCAAAGGAAGAAATTCAAGCTATCAACAGACTTAAGAAAAAATGCTCAGAATCACTAATAATTAAAAACATGCAAATTAAAACAACTGACATTCTATCTCATACCCAGAGGATTGGTAAAGGACAAAAAAGGGAAAATTACAACTATTGGAAGGACTGGAGGAAAAGAGGCCCATTAATTCAATATTAGAGGAGCGCTGAATTAGTCCAACTATTGTGGAAAGCAATTTGGAACCACGCCCCCAAAGACACTAGACTGTGCATACCCTTTCACCCAACAATACCACTATTAAGCCTAGACCTCAAAGACACCAAAGAAAGAGAAAACGGACTCCTACATAGAAAAATATTTATAGAAGAACTTTTTGTGGTGGCAAAAAACTGGAAACTAAGGGGGTGACCATCAATTGGGGAATGACTGAACAAATTATAGTATGAATGTAATGTAATATGACTGTGACATAAAGAAGTGATGAAAGGGATGGATTCAGAGAAACCTTGGAAGACTTGTATGAAGCCATGTATACGGAAGTGAGTAGAACCAGAATAATTCATAAAACAACATTTTAAGTCTGAAATACTCCAGAGATAACAGTGATAGCAATGAAACTTGTTACCTACCTCTCAGGAGACAGGTGACTAATTCAAGGCACAGAACAAGCTATTTTTTGCACACAGACAATGTGGAAGTTTGTTTGGTTTCACTATGTGTATCTGATGCAATGTATTTTGTTCCTGTTTCTTGCAATGAAGCGAGGGTGTCACTGAAGCATTTTTTTAAATGTAGGGAAAAGAACCCAAACAAGCGGGACAGTTTTGAAAGTTACCAGCCAAATCTCTTCTATACTTGAAAAGAAAAACAAGCTAGAGGAAGTAGAAATCTGCAGTTTCGTGTACAATCCTCTTTTGGGGCTCTCCTTTGTATTTGGAAATGCTTTTTAAAATTTTTTTTAATCCTTGACTTTTCCTTGAACATTTTTTCTCTATACAAATGGTTTGTGAATGATGTGTGTGATTAGCAGATGACAGCTGATAAGAGTCACTCCTCCTGGCCATGAGGTCTCCGAGGGTGGCCCTTCCTTGTTGTCCATCATTTGCACTATGCATGGAGTGCTACCCTTCGTGACATAGTATCCTTATGTCTTTTCTTCAAGAAGATGCTCTTCACTGTGCTCTCATGATGAAAATTTCCTTCGTGGCACTTTTTTCTAGCAAGGATGTGAGGGGACTGATATACATGGACCCACAGGTATGGCCACTCTTACCAAATGTTCTATTTTAGACTTTCCAAAAATTATGCAGAAAGAATTCAAATTCCATCTAGGGATGGCCTAGTGTAATAGTATGAAAAAAGTGGATTCGTATTTGTGACATACCTACTAAATTAAATATTTTATTACAGAAAGCAGTCCTAAATTAGGTGGTAGATTGCATAGGTTACTAGAATTTCCATAACAATCAACTTCCGTGTTCCTTCAGAAAATGACTGTCTTTAATATTCCCTACACATTGGCAGTTCTCACATTGCACTAGGCTCTGTGTACTGGTTGGATAATGAAAAATAATGCCACTACGATTATAGGCAATCCTGGAATGAAAGCGTAAAAAGAAACAAATCTGAAGTACAAGCTTCATCCAAAACCAAAACCAATCGATCTTTTTTAATGTGAAAACTCTGAAAACACTTAGGTATTCAGTGACAAAAATTCAAACTTATCGGCCTCCTAAAAGGTGTGTAGTTCCACAGCACAGACTAGGGGTAGAGTTTATCCAAGAGCAGAGAAAAGATGGCATCTGCCCTCTGGCAGTTTGAAAATGTTACTGTCATTTCCAGGTAACAGACTGGCTCAATAAAATCCTGTTAACATATGTAAAGGGAAAGCCTAACCCTTATTCCTCTTTCTGGACACTATTTACTTACGTATCTATTGAACATGTTGTCTGTTTTCCCAACAGTGACATTATTGAGTAGAACCTCTGCAACTGTATCAACTCCCTCGAAAATCAAATTTACTTTTCGCACTTTGCTAGGAAAAATAAAGAAAAAGATTTTAATTAAAATATCATTTAATGCTGATAGTAACATCTCAAGAAAACTTTCCTTACTAGCTAATGGAAATAAAGGTGTACGACCATTTTATGGGACAAACATTATTATTGAAAAGCTGCTCTCAGGGAGAATTTCTAATTTTTTTTCCACCATATGTCAAATATATAGTTTTTTCTGTGAATTTCCATTGTACAGAATACATTACTTTTCATTAGAAAGAATAACATCATTTCGATGTGTTTGAAATCCCGCATCTCATAGGATTGAATATAAATGGGATAGTAGATGTGTGAGCTTTCAGAAGTATAAAGTAGAATATAAATATTACTATTAAAACTAAAGAACTCCCTAACTTCAACCAGCAAGTATTTCTTGAGTTACCATCACATGCTCAAAACTCCGGTAAGACCTACTGAGGACACTATCCTACACCAGAGGAACTTACAATCCAATTAGGAAATTCAGAGTGAGACATTTATTTTTAGCCATGACCAAGGTAGGAATCTGTTTTGCTTGTCTACTCATATATTTGTTACAAGGGTTTTTTTCTTTTTTTTCTTGCTCAATGGGAGGGAGAAAACATAAATGCTTATTAATTTAAAAAAATTTAGTTGAAAAAATTTAATTGGGCAATTAAGAAGAATGTACAAGAACCAGAGAAAGAACAATACCGAGTAGAATATAATTAAGAGTTACACAGCATTGTACAGACTAAGTACTGCAGAAGCCTATGAAAGGAAGATGGATTAGAGTAGTCAATATGGACTGGTCAGGGAGGCTTCCTAATAAGGTTAGACCTAAGCTTGGCCCTAAAACCTAGTAAAGTGATATAATGGGAGAGGAAAGTGGAGGCAGGAAAATAGTATAAGCAAAGTCAAGGAAATGGGAACCAGTATGACATTTATGGGCAACATTAAGGTGTCGAGATTAACTAAAATGAAGGGTTTATGCTCTGGAATGATGAGAAAGAAGATCATAATATAGAGAGGTGACATATTAAGAAGCATCTTGAAATCTAGGTAGGAAGGTCTTGTCTTGTTTCAGTTCTCAGGTCAGGAAACACATGACAAAATTCAGTATTTCAAAAGACTAATCTGACTTCTAGACTTCCAAATGTAAGATGAACAAGCATGGGGAGGTGGGGAAGGGCAAGCAGCACACTTTATAAAATGACTGATACTTAAGAGATGGCTTTTGAATCATACTTTATTCCAATATTCAGTCTATAAAGATTATTATTAAAAGTTAAAAAAAAAAAACTACATACCTGAAGTCAAAGGGAATCCTAAATTCCTTGCTGTAGATCCAGTTATCCAAGGAGATCCAACTATAATTCAGGTCATTAAATCTATAGTAAGGATCCTTCAGGTACAAATAAAAGTCAAAAGTATTTAATTAACAATGTTACAAAAAAATTGAAAAAGCTATATCACACCGAACAACTGAACTCTTGGCTGTAGAGATAAAGAGTTTAAACTATTAACCCTCCCTCCAACAAAATAAGATTCCCAAAAATATTTAAAATGAAACATCTGACAAAAGATGGCCGCTGAAACTTTTTCTTTTTTAAATGCACAGAAGGAACAGAACAAAGTTTGAAAAGAAACACAGGGAAGGGGCAGCTAGGTGGCACAGTGGATAGATCTCTGGCCTTGGAGGTCAGGAGGACCTGAGTTCAAATTTGGCTTCTGACACTTTACACTTACTAGCTGTGTGACCCTAGGCAAGTCACTTAATCCCAACTGCCTCACCAAAAAAAGCCAAAAAAAAAAAAGAAAAAAAAAGAAACATTGAGAATAGGATCTAGTCTTTACTGCCACACTGAAGCCCAAGCATGGTCTGCCTCTGCGGTTCAGGAGTTTGACCCAAGCACATGTCCCACCCCCACCCCATACAGCCTCGATCTACCCACAGGAGCTACTGAAATGAGCAAACCAAGGAAAACACCAAATGTGAGGAAATACTTTGGACTGAAAGATACCTTGAGGTAAACCCTGAGGAAGAGAGTCATCCCACAACACACCCCTACAAGGATTATAAGCATGCCTGGAAGAAATGAAGGGAAATTTAAAAATGGAATAGCTAGGAAGGAAAGAAGAACAAGGAGATTTTACACTTTAGAACAGGTGGTGGAAAACCTTACCGTGCCTAAGAACTGACTGTCCTAAGTATTAGACTGGGCCAGCCAAATCAATTCAATGAGACAAAAAGATATATTAAAATAAAATCAAAAGATTAGGGGGGAAAAGAAAGAATACATAAGCATCAAGGTATTTTTTTTTTACCCTGGAAAACAGGTCAAGAAAACATAATGTAAGAATATCATGACCAAAAAAAAAGCCTAGTTACCATATCTCAAGAAATTGTAAGTGAAAACTGTCCAGAACTCTTAGAACCAAAGTGAAAATAGAAAGAATATACCATTTATCTCATAAATAAATACCAAAATTGAAACTATCAGGAAAGTTATAGTCAAAATCCAGACTTTCCAAGTTAAAAAAATATACATTACAAATAACCTCCCTCCTCCGCCCAAAAAAAGTTCAAGTACCAAGAAGCCACAGTTAAGGATCGCAAAAGACTTGGCAGTTACTTTTTCAAAGAAAAGGAGATGTAGGAATACAATATTTAAAAAGGTAAAATATAAAAAGGTTTACAACCAAGAATATTCTATCCACAAAAACAAAGTTTATAAAAAAAAAAAACTACCAGGGAAAATGGACCTTTGATCAAATAAAGTATTTCTAAGGATTTTTAATGAAAAGGTCACATATGAGTAGACATTTTGAAATGAAAACAAAGGAGGCAAGAGAAATACAGAAAGGTACACCTATTTGTTCAATTGGAAGGGGTCTATGACCAAAAAAGATCAAAGAAAGAGAAAAGGATACCTATATGCAAAAATATTGGTAGTACCTCTTTTTAATGTGGCTAAAAACTGGAAGCTAAAGAAGTGTTATGTAGTTAAGGCATAGCTAAACAAATTATGATAAAGAAATGTAATGCAATATTGTTTCCATAAAAAAAAATGATTCCCAAAAATGACAGTTTCAGAAAAAAATGGGAAGACCTCTATGAACTGGTATAGAGTAAAGTGAAAAAACTAGAACAATTTATACAATGATAACATTATTAAAAAAAAACAACTTTGAAAACCTTAAGAACTCTGAAGGACCCAATTAATACAATGATAAGCCATAAGTTCAGGAAAATAGAGATGAAGCACTGCACTCACTTCCTGAAGGAAAGCCGATAGGCTTAAATGCAGAATGAAAAATATTTTTGGACACAGACAATGTGGGAATCTGTTTTTTCTGCATTATGCACGTTTGTTGCAGAGATTTTATCTTTTTTTTATTATTATTGTTTAACGGAAGGGTGCAATCAGGAGGGAGAAAAAATTAATTTTTAAAAAATTTATAACTTGTTTAAAGAAGCACTACACACACACACACACACACACACACACACACACACACACACACAGAAACTCACTGCCCCTCCCCCCCCAAAAATTAAAGAGGTCTTTTGTGTCAAAGGCCCAAATGACACATGGTCTAGCAATACTTACAGCATCCCTTTAATGATTCCATTTACAACATACTGCATATGCTTCTGACCTGCACTGAGTTAGACCTGCTTAACCTGTAGAATCCCTGACCAGTTGGAGCCTTTTTATTCCTAATTCTGTAAGAGAAACTTCATTTGCACTCAACCTCAAACTTAATAGAACTGATAACAGTTGTTTGTTTTTAAGTACTGTATTTTCACTGTCTGTTAGACATTTCCTGGACATACTCCCTGCTTAGTAATTCCATTATCTAAATCAGACAGTCTGAATCTAGTTAGTAAACTTTACAAAAAAAAAAGGATTTTGCTAACTATATTTCAACAGTTTCCTTAGTTGTTTGTTGTTTCTGCATTAGAATACGAGCTTATTGCACTGTTTTGTTTTGGTTTTTTGCCATTCTTTGCACCCTCAGGGCTTATCACAGTGCCTGGCACATAGCAGGCAGCTAGATGGCCTAGTGGATAGAGCAGTGGACTTGGAGTCAATAAAAAGAGTCTGAATCCAGCTTCAGACACATCTTAGCTATATGACCCTAGGCAAGTCATTTACCCATCATCTGCCTCAGTTTCCTCATATGTAACATGGGAATGATAATAGAACCTATCTCTCAGGGATGTTGAAATAATGAAATACATGTAAAGTGCTTCACAAACTATGAAGTGCTACATAACTGCTAGTTATTGTTAATAATAGGTGCTTAATAAATGCTTATTGACTTGATATTGTAATCTTATGTACTTCACGCATTTAAAAACTACTGAGAGGAGGTCCACAGGCTTCATCAGTCTGCTGAAGGGATCCATGACACACATACCCAAAAAAGGTTCAGAACCCCTGACAACTGGCAAGCAACCAAAAAAAGGTGAAGATGAATAATACACTGACAGGAAAACCAGTGATCTTAAGATGTATGGTCAAGGAGCATAATTCAGCCTGCTGTTCAGTGGTGTCTGACTCTTTGTGACCCCATTTGGGGTTTTCCTGGCAAAGATACTGGAGTGGTTTGCCAGGAGTCAAACAGCTATTAAGTGTCTGAGGCCGGATCTGAACTCAGAAAGATGAGTCTTCTTGTCTTCAGACCTGGCACTCTATCCATTGCACCATTGGCTGCCCTATAATTCACTCCAGCCAGCAACAGTTTGAAGCCTATAGAACCTCAAATCATGAACAGCAGTTACCCCTAAGGCCCAGTCAGGCTTGTTGTGTCTGCTCACACTAAAGGCCCTCTAGGCGTTTTGTTTTGTTTTTTTTTAATGCTCAATGAGCCATATTGCTGTAGCTACAGAGGTGTTAAAAAAAGGAATTCTCTGCCTTCAAGAAGGTTATCATTTAAGTAGTCTGAGGAAGAGGGAAATAATTTTTTTTGTTGTTTTTTGTTTTTACTTATTTTTAGTTTTCAACATTCACTTCCACAAGATTTTGAGTTCCAAATTTTCTCCCCATCTCATCCCTCCCCCCACCCCAAGATGGCATGCATTCTGAATACTCTTTCCCCTAATCTGTCCTCCCTTCTATCTCTCCCCTCTTCTCTTATTCCCTTTCCCTTCTATTTTCCTGTAGGGCAGGATAGATTTCTATACCCCGTTTCTTGTATTTCTTATTTCCCAGTTGCAGGTGAAAACAATTTTTTTAACATGTGTTTTTAAAACTTTAGGTTCCAAATTTTCTCTCTTCCACCCTCCCTACCCACCCTTATTGAAAAGGCAAGCAACTCGATACAGGTTATACATGTGTAGTCATGCAAAACACTTCCATAGTAGTCATGTTGTGAAAAACTAAGTATAGGGAAATAATTTTTAAAACAGCTAGCTAGACACTCAGTAATAAATGCAACTATAGACAAATATGTACTAACAATGTATAGTTAAAAGTATTTAAATTAAGCTTTCCCGATTTCACTATCTGCATCATTGTGTGCTACAAAAAGCATAAAAAGATACCCTGACTGCAATCTGAAGCTAAAAGAAGACGTGTAGAAAAACCCTCATATAAGGCTGCAACATTGGATTGTGATTTGAAATACAAACCAAAGCCTTCCTAAAGGGTTCCTAGGACACTTTCTAGTACTCCAACCACTGCTGAGCAAATTCTTCCCTTCACTTTGGCCCACTTCCCAAAAGACTTGTTTGAAGCCCCCACCAGAGCACTAGTACTCATCTCTGACTAGTACAATGCTTTAACAATAACAGCAACAACAACAACAGTATTTATATATAGCACACTAAGATCTGCACAGAGCTTGACAAATGTTATCTCATTTGATTCACACAGGTGCTACTACTGTCCCCATTTTTACCAATGAGGAAACTGAGGCTATAAAAGGTTAAGTGATTTGTCTAAGGTCCCACAGCTAGTAAGTATCTGAGGCAGGATTTGAACACATCTTCCTGAATCCAAGTCCAGTGCTGAATGTCAACCTGATGCTCCATGAGGTGAATTCTCTCACAGTTAAAAATACTAATATTTTTATTGTCATCATCATTTTCATTATAATCAATTACTCTATCCAAACCCTGTACTCTTTCCACTATACCATAACACTTCTGGGACAGCACAGCTTATAATTGCATGAAGACTTTTGGGACACCCCATATATTACCGCAAAGCATTATTTTGAAAATCTTGGTTTGTAGCAGCCTAAAAGATATGAAATCAGGTTTGTAAAACTTTACTGGAGCGTAATTCTCCATTCCAAATCAATTTTCCTGTTCTCTGTCCAGGCAGAGAGGACCACAGTTTGCTCATTCTCCACATGGATCCCTCACTCCCTGGAATCCCCCACTCCAATCAC